CGCTGTTGCTGGTAGTTTAATTTACTAATACCAAGCCTGCAAACTAAACTGACTGTCTCAGTGGAATGTGGAATTTTTTTCTCGAATTGCTCTTCCTTTTTATATTAACATTAAAATAACAATTCGTTGCTGTCTGCGTCATAGACGCCTTCGCCTATGCCGATTTACTTTTCAGAGCTGTCATTCATGTGATCTACTAGCTTGAAGCCTGAGCTAATACATCGATAAGTGGTACTTTTAGCACCCAATTGTAATTTAGCTTATCACGTTCGGTTACCGCTCCACTGCACCGCTACCCGCTGTCTACTCTGGTAACAGGAGAAAAATTGTGTCATTAACATACATACATACGTATGTATGTAAGTGTGTAATTAGTTCTAGGGCATGTAAAGCGTCTCCAAATAAGTAGGGCTGACGTGTTTTCAAATATTTTTGAGTAGTGATCGCTTCACAATACATACTAACCGCAACTTTTGTGTAATTTTATATTTGATAAGCTTTCGCTTTTGCTACTTCCTTATGGAGCGTGAGTACCTCAAGGCTAAAGATGAGTAACAGCTAATTAAAATTTAAAATTGTAACACAAATTAAAAGATAAGTAAAATTCTAACGCGGCCTTTTATTACTCATTTTAATTTGCACCTTGGTTGTTTGTGTGAAAAATCTGCGACATCATTAATATGACCGCCTCGAGATTTCTCGATAAATAGGTAAGGTTAGAAATTACAATTTAATTTCATTTCATTTTGTCGGAACGTCTTTTGATAATCCCTTCGGGAATAGTTTAGGGCTTTTTCAGGTCATTTCGTTGCTAGTTTAGAACTACCCCGAAATGATCTGGAACTAGTCCTGAAATCGTTCTGCAAAAGTCGTTAACTTGCGTCAAATCTTGAAGCGGCCCGAAATCGCCGCTTACTTGTCCCGTAATGTGCTAGAAATAGCACTAAAATAGTCCCGAAATTATCTAGAACTAGTCCCAAAGTGGTGCCCAGAACTAGTCTGGAAATATTAATTTGTACACACAAGGAGCAGTTACAGACTGTCTGCTGGGTTACACAAGAAGCAGTTACAAATCTTAGGCTGGGTTATCGTAAATTTTACCCATACCCAGTTCTAAGATGTTTACACATCATCCGTGTATCGGTATCAAATCGGGTTAAGACTTCCTTAGCTACCGGGGAAAAATTAATTTTGTTTTACTGATGATGATTGCTCGATTTTGGTAACCGGAAATAGCAGTGACTTTTTCACCATCTCTGAAAAAATTAGTCATTCAGACGAATGCAGACAACGGCAATTGTCAATAAAGTATAGAGCTGCAAAAATGACCTCAAATTGCTTGTCGGCAGCGCTTGGAGCAAAGTAAAAAAAAAAAAAACGTTGTTGGCAACATACAAGGAAATATGCCTACCGCAATGTGCCTACGCAACAGTTTGGACTTGGGACAAAAACGGTATGCCTTCTGATATGGCCGGTATCTATACATAACATACATAACGAGACCTCAATGCTCTCAGTGAAGAAGTACAATTTCATGCTAAGACCTCCAGGGCACGTCAGATGACACGTCAGAACGCACGAACGAATCGCAGCTTTACATCGCTCAACCGCTGGACCTCACATTGTGGCGACAAGCCACTGACAATCACCATCTTTACAAACTCTCACCCCTTGAGTGCCGTCATCGGAGTTCAGCAGACTTAACTTCGATTTATCCAGACTCAATCCCGACGTACGCAACCTTTGTCCAGTGAAATGAAACCAACCTCCACTTAACATTACAGTTTAATCCCACTCAGCTAATACCCCGGTTTACCAAACACACCGTCGATACAGCACTTTATTGGACTGACGTTGATGTTGTCTCGACCGTTTGTCATCTTCTTTTTACCGCTTTCTCCTGGTTTCCCTCAGACTTTTAGAGACGCTTTTCTCAATCTTCTTAATGAAGGCGGAATCTCAATCGTTTTGTTAGCCAACTTCAAGTCCTGCTCGGAAGGCGATATATGTATTAACCTCAAGAGCACATCATCTATAAGAGTATCTTCTGTTGCTCCGCTGCCTACGGAGTTGAGGTCTTTGCCGTGAGTAAAAAACAAGCACTGCAACTGCTGGAGCTTGCAACCGCCCTAGATTTCAGACCTGGAGCGTCGTCGGTGTTCATTTAAACGACATGACCAAGCCAGCGGAGCAGTTGTATTTTAATTCACTACACTTTGTCCATGTCGACTTCCAGAGAAAAAGAGAGACAAAATCTCGGATAAGACCCCTCCTCTCCTTTTTACGAGCTATATAATAAATACAGATAATAAAAACGTTCTGCGTTGTTATTGCGTTCTTAATATATTTTCTGCTTCATATTCCTAGATATTTCTTTGAACCAAGCTACTAACTGATTAAAAACTTGAGCAAGTAACCTTACCAACAAATCGGTTTTGAAATAACCATTTAACAGGTAAAAAATGAAGAAAAACTCGTATTTGCTTTCTGCATAAAATATTGCAAATACGTGACTCAATGATTTTGGTAAAATGTTTATCAGACGGTTGAAACAACATCGATTGTGGTATGTATGCCTTTTATTTTAATAAAGATGCTTAAACTGGTTTATGTTCACTACTTTTAAGTAGGTAAATGTTACGAAAAGAAAATGAGTTGCCAAAGAAACATTAAACCATTTCTACATAGTGTTAGCAAAAGTAGATCAAAAGCTATGCTTAGTATAAGTAAACAACTAAAAATTTGGCATTTTTGAGATTATGTGCTAAAAATGTACGCAAAGCTTTTATTTACCTTTCAGCAAAAGCTGAAGAAAATTTTTCTTATTATTTTGTTAAAAAAAACCCTAAAGTAAAGTCGCCCTTGCCCTTATGATTATCATGTGCTAAGAAATAGTTTTTCGCATTTTCCGACAAACGTATTATTTTGAGTTGTGACTCTTTTGAAGACGGTGTGCGATATGTTAACATACATACATATGAACATGCATTTAATTTGACAAATTAACAAGCCAGCATACGTTTGAATATATATTTCACTACAACAAATCCACCACATTTCTTTTGGTCATGCGATTTATTTTGAAGGGAAATTGCCATCTTTATACTTTAGTGGATTATTTATCAATGTAATTGTGGCTTATTATTTACTTCTGTTGGATTTTCGTAGCTAAAACTTATTAGTTATATAACTTCATACTTACTTCGATTAGCGCTTCTTTCTAACATAAATTTAATGAGAATACATTTTTTATTAAACCCGATTAAATAAAGCGCTGTTATAAATACTGAAAGAGTATTGAACTCGTGCCGGCCGGCCACATTTCCACTTATGTATGTGTTTCTATTCCTCCTAAATTATCTGGTCATACGATAAGTATGATTGCAATTAAGTAAGTCAACCAATGGTATGTGCTAATTAAAGACGATCGTTCTGATAATTGAGTGGGTCATGTTATGCGCTAAAATTAGCGCTTTCTTCACTATTTGCCTCACAATTCGCGTGGCAATCATTCATTTACCGATGTAGTGCAGATTTTAACATGGCAACATTGCGATCCACGCCTTAAAGAAATCGCACAAAATAAGCTGCAAGGCTATTATCGGATAACAGTTAAGCAATCCATTTAAAAAATTAGGTACCAAAGAGTTTTAAATGGATTGAGTTAGGCTCTTGCTTGTGTAATCGATTAGCAACGACTATAGTGTCTAAAGGTGCTAAGGGAGCCATGTGAGCGAGACGACTGCCTGTAAATTTTTTTATTATTGAATCATGATTGGGGAGTTTAGAGAATTTGAGAAAAATGCACCGCAACCTTAACCAAAGCATATAAAAAATATATGAATAAAACAGTAATCAGCGACCTAAAACAGCTGCAGATCTTTAGCTGATGTTCTTGTAAAGTAAAAATTCCTTAATATCTCCAGCTTCAGACGTTTAAAGCAGTCAGACTACATACCGTCCATTTTACTGTGTTCTTGTTTTTCGGAACACATCGGTGCCAAAAGCCTCATACCTAATCCTTGCAAAAGCGATCAGGAACATAAAAAGAGTTCTGCCGTAACATCCTCTTCAAGGCAGGAAGGGCAAATGGTATGGGTATGTCAATCACTTTCAAGTGTTTGTGCCACGAGAAAGTAACCTGTCAGCAATCCTATAAGTTGTCTGCAGTCCCATCTGCTCAATCAAATCAAATAACTTGCCAAATTTTATGAGAAGACTTTTGCCCACATGCTGCCCCTCTTAGCCTACCAGTCATTGCTGAGCGAAATATTCATTCAGTTTCTGACGGTAGCCGAGCGTGGGAGCGTTTTTGCTTGTTAAACTATATGTATGTATAATATGGCGTCTATGTATTAAAACACCCCCCCGCTGGATCCACCACTGCCTTGAGTGTAACTTGGTCATCACTATAAACACACCTCTCCGCTTATTTTCCACAACGTAGTCCATGGCATTGACCAAGACTTCAGATCCTGCCCATTCGTGCAGGCCCGAGTTCAGTATTGGGGTAAACCCAGCACTCGGCCTCAGGAAACTCAAAATTGTAGTATCTTCTCAGCAAAAGCAACGGTGTCGTACTATCCTGGTCATTAAAAAGGCATTCACGTCTAGATTTCTGCCTCTAGCAATTTCCGCCTCTTTTGACACTTACTCTAATACTTACCCACCAGATCTCAGTTTTTCTCACACTATTATAAGTAAATTTGAGCTCACGAAAAGTCATTCAACTTTTGCTAAATATTTTTTTTATTATTTTAGTAGAACTATTTAGCAAAAGTTTATATTTTGTCAATGGTTGCATGTGTCACCGAAAAATGTAAAACAGCGACCCCTAGGTTCGGCGGAAAAAAATTGCCTTGCGAAAATTCTTTAGAATGAGGAATGAACTTTTTTGTTTGCTTGTAAGGTGGTTCGGTCTAATGTACATACATAAATTAAGTTTTATGTTTGATATATGTATATTTTTTAAAACAATTTTTTTCTCCAATTCTTTTCAGGTGTTTTAACGGACATACAAGATGATTTTAAAATCGGTGATGATGATGGCGGTCTGCTACAAACCGCCTTTGTACTCTCCTATATGATTTGTGCGCCGGTTTTCGGCTATCTCGGTGATCGTTATTCGCGTCGTTGGATTATGGCCATTGGTGTTTTGTTATGGTCGACAACAACATTACTCGGCTCATTTATGGGTAGCTTTGGCGGTTTTATCACATTCCGTGCTTTGGTGGGCATTGGTGAAGCCTCTTATAGTACCATAGCACCAACAATTATATCAGATTTATTTGTACATGATTTACGTTCGAAAATGTTGGCATTATTCTACTTTGCGATCCCTGTGGGTTCCGGATTTGGGTAAGTCTAAATACTAGAAAAAAATAAATTATATTGAAGCTCGGCTAGACACTTAAAAAATGTGGGAGCGTAAATAATGTCAAGAATACAAGATTGCGCCTTTAAGAGAGGATTTTTGAGAATAACTTTTGTGTGACGTCACACTGGTGCAATTGCGAGAGAGAAACGCCAAAACGTGAGCAAGAATGGAAGAAGAAGAAAAAATGTTGCAAGGAAAACGTAAACAAGTTGCACAAGTGTGACGTCATATACAAACAACGATTCTGTCAAATTCACTGAGAAAGGAATAGCGGTACTGTGATTGGCGCAACCTCTATTTCTCTCAATCGTGGAATTATGTTACATACTTGTGCATATGCACATTAGGGCGGGTCATTTTCATAATTCTTTTACTGGGGTATACGTGCATGGTCAAAAAAATCTCCCATACAAATTGACCGTCTTAACATACATACATACATACATAAAGCTCATTAATTATATCGCTATTATAATAATTTATTACTAGATCTTTACTTGATTCTGCCAAAATAGGTTTACTCGTACTGGAAATACACTAGCATATATTTTTATAGAAATGTATACAGAAGTTTGATAAGACATTTATTATTAGTGTGAAGAGAATATACATATGTATGTATGTATGTATGTAAATTCCGCCATTTATAAAACCTAGATTCATACGTAAATACATACATAAATATGTGCATATGTACGCCTTTATTAATGTTGAGTCATTCACCTCTATGCTGACATTCCAATTTAAAATGTAAATGTCTTCATAGCGTGATTTTTAGCACCGTTGTGCAATAGAAATAATTTTTGAATATTGTTTACTAATCATAAAGGCCTTTCGTACAAGCGACAGGTCGCATGCTTTCACATGCATTTTTAAATATGGCAATAAGAGACAATTGAAACCACCAAGGCAGTTCAAAGGGGCGTTGCCTGTTTTCAATTGAATTAAATTTTTGGAATTATTTACGGCATTTAAAGTCAATTACTTACTAGTATAAATGGTGGCGTAATTCCTTTGAAGTGTAAAAATATATGTACATATGCATGTATATTCAATGCATTACACTGCAACAAGTTTAATTTTATACACTGTCTGTTTTCGACCTTGTTGTTTGAAAGGGCCGTAAACTATTGAGGATACCTTCATCGGGCAACCATGAATTTCTTATGGAAGAAAATGCGAAGAAAATTAAAAAAAAAAAACAACGCCAGTTTTTATAAATTGCACTTGTTATACAAAAAAAAAACGCAAAAGCCAGGAAAAAAAAGGAAAATTAGATTTTGTTCATGCGATATATGGAAGAAAATGTGAACCACCCTTGACAAAAAAAAAA